ATATACATACATCCCCATTGTGCCGCAGCTGTGCAAGGAAGGAGAAGAATGAACCACCTGGAGCCGTGCTTGCCATTCAAGATGTTGGATTGTTGGAGCGTTTCTAGGTGTATTCTATCTTTGTTTTCAATGTTTAAATTTAATTGTCTTTGTTTAATTGCCAACATGAGGAACTATTTCGTTTTAGTTAGAGGTGAATTCAAAGCCATAAACATGTATGTGATATGAATTGATTACATCCAGTTATGATTCCATGAATTGTGAATGCAATTTACTTATCTGTTTGATTGATAACTTATTCTTGTGTGTTGATTAAGGGTGCACATTTAGTTTGCTTGCAGGGATTTAATGCTAGAATATAAGGGAATTTCACCTAATCGTTATGAACTTATATTCACAAGTAGTAAAAGTCACTAGTCATGATTGTGTTAAGTGAATTCTTGGCAGGAGTATCATGCAATTCATAGTTACGAATGCCTTGTCAATGCTTATGATTTTCATAGAACTTAATGATCTTTGATATGTATCTCTATTATGCAGTTCATGTAGGGAACTTGATAAGAATAATTTGGTTGCGTCGCTGAGTCTAATTCAATGAATTTAGGAAAATCTGAAGGTTAATTTGTGCAGTTCACGGTTAACTTAGGGCATTGTCATTCATGGTTTATAGGAAGAATAACTGAAAATTGATTTGTATGCATATGTGTCATGTGTGGAGAAGGACCCTCTAACTAGCCATTCACCCATTAAATCACCAATTTCGTCCAAAGTTATTTAGAGTCTTAAATCTGTTTAGTTTGGGTCTTAAATTCGTCAAAAACCAACTCCCCCATTTATATGTCGTGTCTTTGGGTTAGAATCTGTCCAATTGGTGTTTTATTAGTGTTTTGAAGAGTTCTAGTACTGAGATGTAGCCATGACTGCTTATGTCGAAGCGGCAATAGCATTGGTCAAAGAGTACATGGGATGCACCATCACCCAAATCCCGAGGACAGAAAGTGCATAAGCGGACAACCTTGTAAGGTTAGTATCAACGTCCAAGGGTGATATGATGTGGTAAAAACTAACACACAAATTAAACCCTATTAAGATAGTTGTAGTACGCGTAAGTAGGGATCGTTCTAGGCCGGGGATTAGTTAGGGATGCTAATCAACACAAATTAAACCTAAAAACTGAAAACTAGACTCAAACAACTCAAAACAAGCTAAACTAACTCAAATAACACAAAACTAAATCAAATTGACTCAAAACAAGAACTAGAGGGTGATTTGGACAAAAATTAAACTAAAAAGACTCAAAACAATGAAAAGCAACCAATCTGGACAATTCTAACTAAAAACACGAAATATAAAGGGGGGAGTGGTTTTTAACGAATTTAAGACTAGAACTAAGTACTTGCAGAAACAAACTAAAGGTAATACGAAATTGGATGTTTTTAGGGTTGTAAGGCTAGTTAGAGGGTCATTCTCCACACATGACACACATGCATACAAATCGATTTCTAGTTATTCTTCCTATAAACCATGAATGACAATGCCCCAAATTAATCGTGAGAAGCACAAATTAACTTTCAGATTTTTCTAAATTCATTGAATTGGACTCAGCAACGCAACCAAATTATTCTATCAAGTTCCCTATATGAACAGCATGATAGAGATACATATCAAAGATGATTAAGTTCTATGAAAATCATAAGCATTGACAAGGCATTCATAACTATGAATCGCATGATACTCTTGCCAAGAATTCACTTAACACAATCATGACTAGTGACTTTTACTACTTTTGAATATAAGTTCATAATGATTAGGTGAAATTCCCTTATATCCTAGCATCAAATTCATGCATGCAAACTAAGTAGGCCTCCTTGATCAACACACAAGAACAAGTTATCAATCAAACAAATAAGTAAATTGCATTCACGATTTATGAAATCATAACTGGATGTAATCAATTCATATCACAATGTTCATGGCTTTCAATTCACCTCTAACTAAAACGAAATTAGTTCCACATGTTTGCAATTAAACAAAGACAATTGAAATTAAACATTGAAATCAAATAAGGGTAGAAAGAACTCTGAGACACTCCAGCAATGGCAGATTCGGCTCCTCCTCCCCTTGCAAGCACGGCACACTTTTAATTTTGCTTCTCTGAATTTCTCTCTAAAACCCTCTCTCTAAAATCTCTCTCTAAAATCTCCCTCAAAGCTGCGGCAAAAATAGGTTTATATAGGGTAGGGTTCACGGCACCAATCCTCGGAGGACAAGGATAGGGCACGGCAAACTTCTAGAAGAGAAGGGATTAAATTCGTCAGATTTCTAGGGGAAAAGGGATTAGGTTATTTGCATTGTTTAAGGGCTTCTAGAATCAGATATTAGGTATTCTAATGTGATAAGGAGTCCCCCTTGCAGCTGGAATTAGGTAGGATAAGATTAGGATAGGATAAGATAAGATAAGGTTAGTTTGGATTAGATAAGATAAGGTTGGTTAAGATAATGTTCCTTCCTTTTAGCTGATTCCTTATCTTCTTTGTCTTGACTTTATTTTCTTCATCTCATCAGCATATTCCTAGCCTCTTGAACTTCAAAAATGTCCATCCACCTTGCTCCATGCATGTGCTATCCATTCTTGGCCCAAAACTGCTCCAAATTGCTCCAAATTGCACTTTCTTGCCAACTTTGTCATTTGAACCTGAAAACATACTAAAATAGCTTAAACACTCTAATAAGTATAAACTAGCTATGTAAATGCAAGAAAACAAGCTAACTAAGTCACACAAATATGCTCCTATCATGATATTAAACAATCAATACCTATCAAGCACTTGGATAAACTGAGCATATTGAGACCCAGATGTTCGAATAATAGAGGTTAACGAGATAGACAATTGGATGACTCCACACTCAAATATGTGGTTTATGGGTTTCTTCCAGGTAACTAGTTAGAGTCTTGACGCCTAAGATTCCAAGTGGCTAGGTACACGATTATCAATAGAAAACTCTACAAAAAGGAGTCTGTGCTCTATCTATGGTGCATAACACTTGATAAAGGGGACAATGTCCTCAAAAAATCATGATGGAGTTTTGTGGCGACCACTCAGTAGCCGAACGCTCAGAGCCAAGGCTGTCAGATTAGAGTACTTTTATCCTACTATGAAAGCATATGCAACACAAATAGTATAAAGTTGTCAACCATGCCCATATTATGTAGATTCGAAGAAAAGACCGCCTAAATTAAAAGAAGGGAGCTTCTTGAGAATGGTTGTTTATACCCTAGAAACTCTCGATCTTGACTATTGAAAAGAAGTGATAAAACCACAATATGCTGACATGGGGCAGACCACTTGCATCAATTTGAAACACATAACTAGTTACTTGCTTACCAAGCCATCCTAACAAGCTCTTCCATAAAGTACTTTACATTTGTAAGGAGCTTATCTCATTCTTATTTGTCAACTATAAGATTGACTTCACATCCCACGACATCACTCCTACCCACTATGCATTCAATGCAACGCTTTAATTTCTTCCCATCAGAAAGCCAACACATGCTATGCATGCACTAGAATGCCAGACCGCCTCATTTTCCATCATGCAAGGAGTTGGACGTTTAGAAGCATTTTGTATAATCGGGTGCTGGGCGCTTTGAACATGAAGGAAACCAGAGAGCTAAGCACTACCAAAAGAAAAAAGAAAAAAAAAAGAAACAACAACTTTACATTATTCTAAATAAGGCCCCGATCGGCAGTGACAACTCTATGCCCAAGAAGAAACCCTTGAACAATGAGTTGGGGGAATTGTAAATGGAAGGTGCTTTTAGACTCATTAAAATAATGGATAGTTGTCTAAACCTCAAAGATGGGCCTTGAGGGACTCCACAAAGTGATGAAAGATAAAGAAACAGGGCTCTTGCACCAAGAGATTTAGTAAACAGAGCACTACTTCAATTGAAAAATAACTACAGTCACTGATGACCACCCAAGGCCCTGGATTGTCTACTGACAAAAAGGAACGAGCACTAAGCTTAAAATACTTTTGCAACTGCTCAAGCCAGTTGGTAAGCCTGACAACTTTAGAGCGCGAAGCTCTAAAGACAGGTTTATCCAAACATCAACTCCAAGCCACATGTGGACCACCAATGAAGAAGAAAGTCTATGAAACGACACTTGTCAGACCTAGCAATTGGCTTAAGTGCTTTCCAACCACCCTCTAACGAGCGCTGCACTTGAAAGGTATCGACTTGGAAAACCAAGCAAGTAGCCTTGCAATGATATCACTTTTTTTCACGTATTGCTCAGATAGTGGAGAAGTCGCTTGTAGACCAATGTGAAGCCCATTTATTAATGGGGCGGTGAGAGAATTAAAAGCCCAAGACTTTTCTGGCGCAATCAGGGCCTATGTAATGGAGATGAGTACTCCTTATAAGGGGTCTGATCCACAAGAATAGAATTGAATAACACTATCCTTGAGAGCTACTGTAGTTAAAAACAAATATATATCTGATTTTCTAGTGGATCAGTGCCTCCGTTAGGAATAACCTACAATCTTAGATCATGATAAGGATTCGCAAGCGAGCAACCCATTTTCAAGGGTTGACCATACTAGTCCTTTGTTGATCTCTCAATTTTGAACGTTAACAATCTACACTAAAGGAAGGGGAATAGTTTAAACCTAGAACGCATTGGGTTGAAGAGCAAAGCCTTAACCACCAAAGCAATCCATCACTTACCTTGCTAATCGAACATGTAGATTTCTGTGTGTATCACACATTATATATTTGTTGCATGGCAAAGCAAGCACAGTTTTTGGTTGGCAATTGTTGAATGGTTTTATATCATATATATCTAGAAAATGTTTTGAGCGGAGGGTTGTATACAGATGACCTTAGGATTCGATATCAGGATCCTCCTAGTAAGTCTTTTTTTTTTTTTTTTTATTTACTTCCAAAAAATAAAAATTAGAAAAATTAAAAAACAAAACTCTACAGTGAATCAAAATTTAGTAAAGCTCTCTTTAGATTATTTCATGGAGATTTATTTCCATATGAGAACATTATTTCCAAGCTATTTGTAGTAACTTGTTCATTTATATATGCCTTACAAAGATATCTTGTATATATTTCAACTTCTTGTACTTTCAATTGGGATATCAGTCTCTACTTTATCTTGAGAAGGATCTGGATTGCTTGCAGCTTCCACATTCTCCAGTTTTGAGACGCGAAACACAGCCAAGTGCTCATCTCCTGCAACAAATTAGGCAGTTCAACATCAAAACTTGAACAATTCCGTTTGCCAACAGAAAACACTAGCAATATACAATTTACGTAACACCATTTCAACTAGGTAAATTTTAAGCAAGAAGGCCAAAAGAAAGACAAAAAAATCAGACAGTCGATCTTCACCCCGATACTAGGTTTCTTATTTCCTCCAACTTCTATCAATCCATGAAAATAACAAAGAAAAGAAGGAAAAATAAATTTTATAGAGTAATTCTGTGTGTAAATCTGTTACGTCTGTGTATTGTATTGTATGAGAGTTTTAAGGTTTGTTGATAACTTCTGAGGTGATTGATAGGGAAAGACAAACCCATTGTTCCCTGCATTGTGTCGGAATCTCACCCTGCCCCAGCCTTCAGCAAAGATTTAATTTCTTCGACTTCAAAATTACCAACACTACATACAATCCACGATTCAACAACTGATTTGTACAGACTTTACTGATTTCTTTTCTCTACCTACACTCAGATCAGAAATCTTGTGTTCTGCGTGCCTCATTTGATATGAGCATATGTATAAGTTTCCAAAATCAAACAGAGAAGATAAAGAAAGAAGAAAAAAAGGTTAATGTATATACCAAACGTAAGACAAGACCCAGGTGGTACTGTGGCAACTACTCCTGCGCTCAACCGTTTGTCGTCAATGAACGTCCCATTTGTGCTGTCCAAATCTGTTACTAATAGCTTCCCTTCTTTCTTTTGGATGCGAGCATGCACGCCAGATACTGTAAACCCGGAGAGCAACACAAACATGAACCAATGAATATTACTTCATCTTAAACTTCAAAGAACTGAAGAATATCCGGAATTGCGGAAATATTAACTCAATGCTTTCCGGATGGTAACTTATTGCCTCCATTGATTTAGAGAAAGTTGGTTCACATATCAGCTTAAAGGTAATATCAAAGAACTAAATGTCTAAAGAAAAAAAGAAACCAAAATTAATTTTAAACCCTCTAAAGAAAAAAGATTACTGCCATCTTAATTTTTACCGCGGAATGAATGAATGTTTAATGTCTCGGTGACAATGCCATTGCTTTGTTCTGCACATTAATTTCCCTACAGAATCCACTTTGAAAGCATCTTTTGCTTATTTATACTAAGACATGGATGCTCCTCTACTTCTAGCTTAAAGTTCGAGTACGAGGTATCAAAAAACCCTCCACATATATATTCCTGGGCGAGAACTTATTCAGATTCAGGGTAGGATTACTAAACCCTAGACACATGTATGTATCGGTGTACTCCACGGCAGTCAATGTCATCAATGGTGGCATGGATACATCGAGACCAAGTTCCTAGCTACAGCCTATACTATAGCCAAGGTGAAATGTTAACTTTAATTAAGTGATGTAGTAAACCAAATTATGATCAGAATGGGATGGGATGTGATCAGAACAAATGACAAGAATGCGTGGAATCACGGTCTAACAGTAGCAGCAACCTAGCTAGGTTAATTTATCTCTGCAGATTGATCAATATATGTACTGAATGAACTACACATACTAGTCATACTCCTGATATAATTCAACCACCTTTCTGAGAAGAATTTGGAAATACGATTATTGTGTGTAATACTATTACTAGGTACCTGTTGCAACTGGAATCACCATATCAGCTTTTTCCGGGAGGCGGCCAACAGTCACCTCATTCTAGATTAGAACCGAAACAAGCAAGCAGTCAACTATTTCAATACTTGAACTTAAGAATCAATACATACATAATGTACAACTAACTAAAAAGAAAACATGAATAAAAAACAACTTACAGAAGAAATTTCAAATGCATTTGGCATCGGAACCTTGAAACCTATATGCCTTGAATCTCCATCGCCTGTTAGTGTTAGGTAGGAAATTAAGAAGAAATAGTCACTCCTTCATCCAAAAATGAAAAACTAACAAGAAACAGATCTGAGTAAATGCCGGAACTGTAATACATACACACATATATATTGAGCCCTGTTGAAATTAACAAGTTTCAAAATTCGAATATATAACTGGGTAGATTTTCTACACAAGTTAACCACATATGAAATTAAGAAATAATGAGACAGAAGTGGGCATATATATACGTACCAACGGGCTCCAGAAGCCATTTATCTGGTGGAGTCTGAACCGAGGAGGAAGAGGAGGCGGCATAAATTGTTCGGTGGTTTTTTGATTTTGGTTTGATACTAAAAAGTAGCGGTTGGCGTTGGCGTTGGAGTCGGAGGAGCTGTGGACTTGTACTATTAATACTGGAGGAGCGCTGCCGAAAAGCAACAACGTGACTCAGAGCAGCATGAGCTGCATGAGGAGGAAGCTTGGGAAGAACAAGAGACTTGTAGCAGTGGCAGTGAGCACTGACTTCCATTTCTTTTTTCTGCAGTTTCTATGGCAGCACAGCACTCACATCCTGAAACCAAACAAGAAAAAGAAACTAGAAAACCACTTGGACATGGATTTGAGTATGTGGCAACCATTTAATGCTTTGACAAAGATTTGGATAACAATATCTTCACCCTTACCCAAACAAATACGGCTCTGACCTTTGGCCCTATTGAACAAGTCTCAAGGGATGAAAGGTCGAATAAAGTTACCCTAAAAGATCGTTGTGACAAGTTCACAGGATTTTAACTTATGGATCAAAGCTCCAAGTCGACTAAAATTCAAAGACCAATACTCCAATTTTCTCACACTCATTGTTCTAAAAATCCGCACCTAACATCGCGTAAGCCCCGCCTAGGCGCTAGGCGGCTGGTTACCGCCTAATAGTCTCTAGGCGTTTGAAATAAGAAAGTGCAACTAGACCCGTTTAGGCATCCGTCTAGCCCACCTAAACCCACCTAGGTCGCCACTCTAACTTAGACAGAAAATCAATAACTTTCATTTTACATTTTAATTTTTCAATAAAATGTGAGGTTTGTTAAATATTTAGATGAACATTCACTACATGTTTGTTCCCCATGTTTTTAATATGTTCTAATACTTTATAATTTATATGTCATTTTATTTTGCAATATATGTATTCCAATATAATAATGTGTTTTTTAAGTATCAATAGACACTTATTTATCTAAACTACATATTAATAAAACTCACTTTGTCAACCAAAACTCATTGAAATTACAATTATAACCTTGAATATCTAACTTAAAAAAAAATATGTGAGAAAAGAAAAAAATGGTGGCATTAAAGTAATTTCGAACAAACAACTTTTTGTTTTGTTTTTTTTTTAAACCTTACAGTCATGTCACCATAGAATACAAGCTGGATGGTTGAAATGGAAGAGTGCATCCGACATGTTGTGTGACCGCCGTATGCCACTGAAACTCAAGGGAAAATTTTATAGGACGGCAATAAGGTCGGTGATGCTGTATGGCGCGGAATGTTGGGCGGTGAAACATCAGCACGTACATAAAATGGGTGTAGTGGAGATGAGGATGCTTCATTGGATGTGTGAGCACACAAGAAAGGATAAGATTAGGAATAAGGATATCCGAGGTAAAGTAGGAGTAGCCGAAATTGAAGGAAAGATGAGAGAAAATCGGTTACGGTGGTTTGGACATGTGCAAAGAAGACCTACTGACGCTCCGGTTAGAAGATGTGACTACAGGACAGAGATCCAGGGCCGAAGGGGTAGAGAAAGACCTAGGAAAACTTTGGAAGAGACTCTAAGAAAAGACTTAGAGTACTTGGATCTAACGGAGGACATGACACAGAACCGAGCGCAATGCAGTTCTAGGATTCATATATGGGAAAAGGCTTTGTTGTTGTTGTTGTTGTTGTTGTTGTACAATCATGTCACCCTAACACTCAGGCCTGGCAAATGGGGTCGTGTCTGTCGTGTTTGTGTCGTTTTCGTGTAACAACTATCATCTTAACGGGCCATGTCGTATCACATCCGTTATCTTAATGGGTCATTAACATGTCGGGTCACTTTACCCGTTACTTTACCCAACGGGTAAAGTGACCTGACTCGTTATGATCCGTTAAGAATTTTTTTTTTTTCTTAAATTTGCACAAACCACACATTGCCACATAAATATTACTTCAAAACATTAAAACACATTTGTCGTTTAAGTACTACATCTACATTCGAAAATAAGAGCCTAATAAACAAATATTCATACACTACTAGTCTAATACAAAATATTAAAAGTGCAAGGATATGCAAAATGAAAGAGTTTTTGTTTACAAGGTTCTGAATCCTATCTCAAAAGTTTAAACCTTGCCAATGGAACTCAAAGCTTGCATGTTATTCCTTTTACAAAATCCTCAATTTCATTGATCATCATGACATAAGATTTTGTGGTACCACTAGTGTAAATATTTTAAATTGAAGATCGAATTCATTCATTGTATTCATATACAGTCAAGGAGTGTAGCTGTAAAAAAGTCATCAAAATCAGAGTTAAAATAACAGTTAAATCATGATTTTTCGTTGATAACCGTCGAAAAGTTTTGTCCCATTACTTGATGTTTGAATGTTTATTTTTTCCGATTTTTTGCGTATGCGATCTTGAAGCATATACAAATAAGTTTGACGTTTAGATCGTCGAAATTAGTTTTGTAGAATGCGTATCCCATCAAAACGATAAATTCACTAACACTTAAGAGTTTATTCATACTTTCATTAAGTATAACATGTAAATATTTTAAATCGAAGATTGAATTCATTCATTGTATTCATATAGGGTCAAGGAGTGTAGCTGTAAAAAATCATCAAAATCGGAGTCAAAATAACCGTTAAATCATGATTTTTCGTTGATAACAGTCAAAAAGTTTTGTACCGTTACTTGATCTCTGAATAAATTTTTTTTTGCGATTTTTGGCGTATGCCATCTTGAAGCATATACAAAAAATGTTTGACGGTTGGATCGTTGAAATTAGCTTCGTAGAATGCGTATCCCAACAAAACGATAGATTCACTAACACTTACAAGTTTATTCATACTTTCATTAAGTATAACATAAGATTTTGTGGTATCCATTAGTGTAAATATTTTAAATTGAAGATCGAATTCATTCATTATATTCATATAGGGTCAAGGAGTGTAGCTATAAAAAAAATCATCAAAATCAGAGTTAAAATAATTGTTAAATTGTGATTTTTCGTTGATAACTGTCGAAAAGTTTTGTCCCGTTACTTGATCTCTGAATGTTTTTTTATTGCAATTTTTGGCATTTGCGATTTTAAAGCAAATACAAACAAGTTTAACGGTTGGATCGTTGAAATTAGTTTCGTAGAATACGTATCCAATAAAAACGATAGATTCACTGACACTTAGAGTTTATTTATACTTTCATTAAGTATAACATAAGACCACTATTGTAAATATTTTAAATTGAAGATTGAATTCATACATTGTATTCATATAGGGTCAAGGACCGTAGCTGTAAAAAAATCATCAAAATCGGAGTTAAAATAACCGTTAAATCGTGATTTTTCATTGATAACAGTCAAAAAGTTTTGTCCTGTTACTTGATCTCTGAATATTTGTTTTTTGCAATTTTTGGCGAATGCGATCTTGAAGCATATAAAAACAAGTTTGACGGTTGGATCGTTGAAATTAGTTCATAGAATGCGTATCCCATCAAAACGATAGATTCACTAACACTTACGAGTTTATTCATACTTTCATTAAGTATAACATAAGATTTTGTGGTATCCACTAGTGTAAATATTTTAAATTGAAGATCGAATTCATATAGGGTCAATGAGTGTAGCAATAAAAAAATCATCAAAATCGGAGTTTATTTATACTTTATTTATATAGATAATTAACAATTAAACTTTATTTATACTTTCAATTAGACTTTATTTATATTTTCATTACGTATAACATAAGATTTTGTGATATCCACTAGTGTAAATATTTTAAATTGAAGATCGAATTCATTCATTGTATTCATATAGGGTCAAGGAGTGTAGCTGAAAAAAAATCATCAAAATCGGAGTCAAAATAACCATTAAATCGTGATTTTTCGTTGATAACTGTCGAAACGTTTTGTCTCATTACTTGATCTCTGAATATATTTTTTTTTTGCGATTTTTGGTGTATGCCATCTTGAAGCATATACAAACAAGTTTGACGGTTGGATCGTTGAAATTAGCTTCGTAGAATGCGTATCCCAATAAAACGATAGATTCACTAACACTTACAAGTTTATTCATACTTTCATTAAGTATAACATAAGATTTTGTGGTATCCACTAGAGTAAATATTTTAAATTGAAGATTGATTCATATAGGGTCAAAGAGTGTAGCTATAAAAAAATCATCAAAATCGAAGTTAAAATAACCGTTAAATCGTGATTTTTCATTGATAACCGTCGAAAAGTTTTGTCCCGTTACTTGATCTCTGAACGTTTGTTTTTTGCGAATTTTGGCGTATGCGATATTGAAGCATATACAAACAAGTGTGACGGTTGGATTGTTGAAATTAGTTTCATAGAATGTGTATCCCATCAAAACCACAGATTCACTAACACTTAAGAGTTTATTCATACTTTCATTAAGTATAACATAAGATTTTGTGGTATTTTGATGACCGTCGAAAAGTTTTGTCCCGTTACTTGATCTCTGAAGGTTTGCCTTTTTCGATTTTTTAGGTATGCAATCTTGAGCATATACAAAGAAGTTTGACGGTTGGATCGTTGAAATTAGTTTCGTAGAATGCGTATTCCATCAAAACGATAGATTCATTAACACTTAGAGTTTATTTATACTTTCATTAAGTATAACATAAGATTTTGTGGTATCCACTAGTGTAAATATTTTAAATTGAAGATCGAATGCATTCATTGTATTCATATAGGGTCAAGGTGTCTAACAATAAAAAATAATCAAAATCGGAGTTAAAATAACCGTTAAATCTTGATTTTTCGTTGGTAACCGTCGAAAAGTTTTGTCCCGTTACTTGGTGTTTGAAAGTTTTTTTTTTGCGATTTTTGGCATATACGATTTTGAAGCATATAGAAACAAGTTTGACGGTTGGATCGTTGAAATTAGTATCCTAGAATGTGTATCCCATCAAAACGATAGATTCACTAACACTTAGAGTTTATTTATACTTTCATTATGTATAACATAAGATTTTGTGGTATCCACTAGCGTAAATGTTTTAAATTGAAGATCGAATTCATTCATTGTATTCATATAGGGTCAAGGTGTGTAGCCGTAAAAAATAATCAAAATCGGAGATAAGATAATCTTTAATTCGTGATTTTTCGTTGATAACCATCGAATAGTTTTGTCCCGTTACTTGGTGTCTGAACGTTTGTTTTTTGCGATTTTTGGCATATACGATTTTGAACCATATGCAAAAAGTTTGATTATTGGATCTTTGAAATTAGTTTCGTAGAATGCATATCTCATCAAAACGATAAATTCACTAAAACTAAGAGTTTATTTATACTTTCATTAAGCATAATATAAGATTTTGTGGTATCCACTAGTGTAAATAT